TTTTTTGGCCACCCGATATCGTCAATTTTCGTTTAAAATCTTTGTTCGTGATCACTTTAGTATAGAGTAACCAAATTTGCTCTTTCGACGCTGGAGAAACGCCCACACGTTCGATTGTTTTGGTCGGAGTGGAACCGATACTTTCCGCCATTCAACTCGGTCCAAATGTAATCTGAGAAACCAGTTGAAGTCACGCCACTCCTCATTTTTGGCGCGAAACGCAAATGAAAACCCTTCAAGCGAGACAAGTCGACCTCTCGCGACTTCGTCGCTCGCTCGGCCGCTTCGCGGCCTAACATATTCTACCCTGAAATTCATGAGGTCGACTTGTGGCAAGTCTAGGTCGCAACGTGATCAAGTCACCAGTACTAACCGACTTATGTACATAGTTCCTTTTTCTCCCCTACATCACCACAGACTTCTTAGTGAAATACGTCAATTGAAAGCTAGGTGAATGCAGATTCCGCAGTACCTTATTATTAAGAGGCCACTAGATGTTAAACAGCTTAAAAACATGCCGCACCGTAGTCCACTCTACTTTCCGTTGAATTGCAACACGATACATTTATCTTTCAACCGGTCACAGTGCTAACCAACGAAAGAAAAAATATTTCCTCAACTACATCTCCACAGATTTCTAGGTGAAATATGCCATTTCAAAGCTAGGTAAATGAAGATTCCGCAGTACGTAATGATTTAGAGGCCACGATACGTAAAACAACCCAGAAAGTCGTGCCGTATTTCACTCTACTTGCCGTCGAATTGCAATACCATTCATCTCTCTTTCAACTCCACACGGCTAACCGACTCATGTAAGCATTTTTTTTTTCCTCCATTACATCTCCACAGACTTTTAAGTTAAATACGCCATTTGAAAGCTAAGTGAAAGCAGATTCAGCAGTACGTGAAGATTTAGAGGCCATGATACGATAAATAGCCAAAATCATCATGCCGTTTTAAACCAAATTTACAAACAAATTGCAACAGGATTCATGCATCTTTCAAATATGATGTTATGTTAAATTACCCAAGTCGTTTGGCCCAAATCAAAGTCGTTTCGCCCCAACTGAAAAAAGATAAAGACAAACAACTTACAGATATTTCCTCCTGTTGACGTGAACTGGTCAGTAGACTAAGGTAACCGATGAACTAAACTGAAACTGGATGCAATCTTACGCAAAAAATCACATGATGATCGACAAGTTAAATTTAAAACAAGTGTAACGCACGTAGAGGAAATTTCACGCACGTTTAAAACCTACATACTGGCCCCTAAATGCGAACTAAAAGATTTAAACCTAGCTGAGTGATTCAAACGGAAAAACTTGAGTAATACATTGTCACTAAATCTATTCGAAATAGTTCATCACAATCAAGCCAATAAAAAAACAACTGTTCTCTGACGTTACAGGCAAACGTCTTGGTTGAGGACATAGCAGTCTGCGAGCAGTCTNCTCGCGACTTCGTTGCTCGCTCGGCCGCTTCGCGGCCTAACATCTTCTACCCCGCTTTGCGGCCTAACATATTCTACCCTGAAATTCATGAGGTCGACTTGTGGCAAGTCTATAAATCATACTGAGTGTTTTGTTAGTATACCCAAGCCGAGAAGATTCGTTCACAGCAAAGCCCAAACAGTGTTCGGAATCGCAAACTATTTCTTAATAAGCATCAAGTACTCTAAGAACATTTGAACGCGACTTTCTGTCGAGATTCTATAACATTTTCCTAGTTTTTATCTCACCATACGTTTTTAAAGTTGGCCAGACAAAGTCAGCTTTGATAATTCGTTACCTAGACAACCAAGATGACTTAAGGTGGCTCAAAACAGTTTCCAGCACTTTCCAAGACTTAAATATTGATGGGCCGT